ACAGTCTGCTATTCAGACGTAGCACACTGATCTCTCTAGCAACAGTCTACTATTCAGATGGGGCACACTGAAGCACACTGATCTCTTGTATCCATAGTTATGGTTTGATCTCTCTAGCAACAGTCTGCTATTCAGACGTAGCACACTGATCTCCCTAGCAACAGTCTGCTATTCAGACGTAGCACACTGATCACCCTGGCAACAGTCTGCTATTCAGATGTAGCACACTGATCTCCATAGCAACAGTCTGCTATTCAGATGTAGCACACTGATCTCAATAGCAACGTTTTGCTCTTGAGATGTAGCACACTGATCCCCCTAGCAACAGTTTCTGTTCTGATAGCACACTTTTCTCCCTTGCAACGGTCTGCTATTCAGATGTAGCACACTGATCTCCATAGCAACGGTCTGCTATTCTGATATAGCACACTGATCTCCATAGCAACAGTCTGCTATTCAGACGTAGTACACTGATTTCAATAGCAACGTTTTGCTTTTGAGATGTAGCACACTAATCTCCCTAGCAACAGTCTGCTATTCATACATAGCACGTTTCTTCCTTGCAACAATCTGCTATTCAGACATAGCACACCGATCTCCTTTGCATTGGTCTGCTATTCAGACATAGCACACTGTTGCTTTCAGCTCTTGCTGTGTAATGATCAATTAGAATCAAGTATTTCACACAGGGGTGTAATAGACGACTGTGGCATTTTAAAATGCGCTTCTGCTATTTTTCCCACTGAAAAGCATGATTTCCTTGAAAATAGACTTTTTTTAAAAAAAAAATTTGGGGGGTGAACATGGAAAGCAGTTGTTAGCTGCAAGGAGGGAAATTAGTCTAAAGCTGCAATTACTGGCAAGGAACATGGTCAATTACGGTTTCGGCAGGGATGATTAGTCCATTGAAATTATAAGGCCATTAACATTAAATTGCAAGAACGTTTATTCACTGATAAGTCATTTTCTTCTATTTTTAACAGCAGAAATCTGCAGGTACAGCAAAGGGTGAAATTTGGGTTTTGTTTTTTTTTTTGGGCTACTGCTTCTCAAGCAAAAAGGAATTTAAATACATGATTGGGGAGCGTGTCTTGACATTTCATCAAGCAAAGGATTTCGTGGAGGGGAGAAAAACCAATCAATGATGGAAAATTTGTTGAGAGTTGCATCAGATGGAAAGAAAATGTTAATGATACATGTTTTTTTTGAAAAGAGCGATATCCCAATCAAGCTCTTTAACATTTTTTAATCTCTCTGGATATAATGTGTAAGCGCTGATTTTCTTCATCCACTGTAACACAGAAAGAAAAGCTCGTGAAATTGGACTGATGTCTGACAGGGTTTGATCCTGATTAGTGTTAATTCCAGTTGACACCCTTTGAAATGTCTGATTTTTACCATGCCAAGAAAAAAATAAAACATCCACAAATCTTGTGTCACACTCATCCTCATGCTGATGTCCACTGAAACCCTAATGCCAAAAAGGACTGAAATACTCTTATGGGTTAAAACAAGATCTGGTAATGAATGAGGTTCTGAATGTTCACAGATGAGGGATGACGGAGTAACAATCCACCCCTGAAAGAAAGAAACTTAACAAGTCACTTTGAGATGTGTTTTTTTCCCCATGCCTGTTACCATGGTAACAGTCATTGGCAATCTTTGGTGAAAAACCCGACATTAAAATGCATTAAGAGAGGGGACTGAAGGTGTTGAGCACTTTGTGATCAGACTTAATGTCAATGTGCTTTATTATGAACATGAACAATATGAGATGATTGTATTTGAGTCATTGTTTTGGGAGGAGTGGATGTCACTGCAAAGTGCTGTTTAGCTGAGATGGAAATAGTCATTGTCGTTAAATTGTTGTCTTTATATGAGCAATTATCCATAGATATTAAATTGTGGTTAGGGAAAAGCATTTTTTTTCTTCACACATACTGTATGTGTATAACAAATAAATGAATATATTAAAGCTACTATAAGGAGTTTTTTTGACCACTAGGAAACGGACTCAAATTCATTTTAATGTCTTTTTATAGAGTCCAAAAGTGAATAAAAACATTAGGAATAAGATCGACTGTTTGTAAATCATTATTTTTAATGCCTGGAACTGATGTGAGTGGGTAGGTGTCAGCCAAGCAGATCAAAAAAAAAACCCTTGTTTTTACAGTTTGCATATAAACTACTCACTAAAAAGAAACCATTTCAGAGTGACGAGATAAAACAAGGTATGACTGTTTTTTCCACAAGTTGTCCAAAGTTAAGACAAACCAAAAGTTTCTCACAGGAGCTTTAAAGTTTGGTGAAACATTAATCCTCTGAAGTGTATGCACCGCATGGGGCCATTTAACCCTTTCTGACAAAAGTTGGCCAAGATTAGATTATTTTAGATTATTTCTTAAAATCAAATTATAAGATTTTCTGGTGGTGTGATGTTTGACAAGAGTGAGTTCAGCTATTGCACAAATACTCTGTGTGGGTGTGGACTCTATTATGGCCAGCGTAATGAAAATGCCCCTTAAATTAAGTCGTGGGTCTTCATACCTTAAGATTTTTGACTAAACAAATGCGCTTCATCGTTGATTTTAAGTGCTGCTCTAACAGAATATTAGGGTTGTACTTGAGGCAGCCAATCAGAAGGTCCCATGACACCCCTGGGGACACGCTTGTTTATTTGTGTCCACAACATAATTGATTTTCAACATCTGTAAAAAACTCGTCCAGGCTGGGCTCTCACCATTCATGACTCATCAGTTTGCTCTTTTCACTGCATCATCTCACGAGGCTGTTCGGGTTCAAGTATTTGTGTTATCTTTAAATTTAAGGTCTGACTCACTGAGTCACCGGTTAACTTGCAACAGCAACTTAATAAGTGACTCACTTCCTATACACTCATTCTGTGAGTGAGGGAGGGATTAAAAGGTCGAGTTCAGCAGTGGGATTTGTCTAAAATCAGCGTCATTGTGCAGAAATTACACTGCAGTGACACGAACAGAGAAAAAAATATCAAACCAGAGATGAAATAGCGAGCTGCTGCATCCAAACAAGTCTTGTAATCAGCCTTAAAAACTTGGTAAGGAAAGGATATTGTTTCCAGAGCTTCTTCACCATTATATATCTCATATAAACAAGCATGTGAAATAAATGTCAGAACCAAAAGACTGTAATCTAGCTCAATTACATGCCGTATGTGGTCTCAAAGAGGTCAAAGAAGATGCTATTGCTTCCTATCAAAATGCAGTTCTGGTCAAAGGTGATCGTATCTCTCCAAAGAAAGGTCAATTTTAATGGAGAGAATTACCAGGGTGTATAAACTCAGGACAAAAACCTCTGCACATTAAGCTACAGCTCTGCAAGTCACAACCAACAGCTGATTTGTATTCCACCTTCACATTGTCTCCCATTCAAATAAGCTCAAACGCTGTTGTGAACACTTTCTCATTCAGCCCAGCGTCTCTCTATTGAACAGAATTACACATCGCACATTCTTTTGCCCTTGGGTTTTCCATACCAAATACAGGAATAACATAAAAGATGCTTAATGTCAAATTTCACACATCGGCAAGCTGCTCTCCAAGCAATGCCATGAATCATGCATAGCTACACTTTCCCTAAAAACTTTGCACTTGCCTCTGTTGGCCTTTCCCCCCGAAGCTTCAACAAATAGTAGACGTCCTTCAACCTAACCTCTTCCACTTTATAAACTCTGTCATATCACGCTATGATGTCTAACGGCTTAGTGCATTAACATACATTTTAAATGAATGGAAGATGGCAGATAGATTTAAATCCTATTATTGCAGGAGATATTTAGGAGGTGCAGGTATGGCCTCTCAGAGAAACCATGAAGGAGGAAGAAATTCCTTGCTAAAGCATGCTAACTTAAACTGTCAAAAATTTGGTTTTAAACAATATTTCTTCTTCTCTAAAACAGATAAAGTTTCAGTCTTGCAAACCAACTACTTCTTCTTTCGTGTAACGCCATGCCAACATCTCTGGGCCTAGGTCAAAGAGGCTGGCTCCTGAAGGTGGTCTGTATAAGGGGCAGGTGGTGATTATGTGGTCGGCAGTCCGCTCAGGGTCACCGCACTTACAAGCTGCACTGTCCACCAGGCCTCACTTCCTCATTGATGTTTCAAAGTGACCAACCCCAGTTCTTAGGTGGTTCAGTGTTGTCCGTTGCCGGTGTGGTAGGTCATCTCCCCCTATGGCGCCAACTCCTGGGTCCCAAAGTAACGATGGATGCCCAGCTGACTACCACTCCTGCTTCCGAGCTGCTGCCAGCCAAGCATCTCTGGAGATGTCCTCAGAGGTGGAATTAAGCATCTCTTGCGCTGCCTTCTTGTAAGAAGGGGCGGGATTTGAGTCTGCTTGTGCAGGATGTGCCAATCATGCCTTTGTGCCTTCCTGGCCAGGGCAAGGGTGGCAGCCTCCCATCGGAGGCCAGCTGGGGCTATTCCCACGAGGATTGGCAAGAAAGGACACTGGTGTTTGGAGGGCGCTGTTGATAGCCATGTCAACCTTGCTTGCATGCGGACTTCTACACCAGAAAGGGGCGCAGAGAATACCAGGGCTTGGGTTGATATTCACGGAGTCTTAGCGGACGCTCCCCAGGTTGTCCCAGCAAGGCGGCAAATCAGAGCAACCCTAGATGCCACCTTGGCCTTGACGTCCTCTAGATGTTGTCTGAAGGTCAGTGTCCGATTCAGACGCACACTGAGGTACTTCGGAGCTTGCTGGATCTCCAGGCGTTTGTTTTCAACACGCACATCAAGTTCCCT